TTGCCATGATTGTGGTGTGATACGGTATTTTTCTTGTAGCAACTTGACAACAGCATTTGAGACATAGTATGAGTTAAAAACTTTGAAGGTATCTTGGAACTGTTCTATTTGATCTTCATAAAGTATAGCTTGAACTTGTGTACCCTATACAACTTCATAAAGTATAGCTTGACAGAAGTTAATGAGGCAGTGGATTATGTAATTATGAATTAAATGAGAATTGTTATTGTTAAGAACCTAAAAAATGAATATGGTATATATTTTAAAATAAGAATTTCAAAGTGTAACCTCTGCATCAGCCAAAATGAGCCTTTGATATCTTGTTGAGCCTGTTTTTGGGATTCGTGGATTCCACTTTTCCAAAACACGAATCTTTGCTGTCCATTGTTTAGTTGTGCTAGTTATTTTCTTGATAGGTGTTATTTCTTCATTCATCCTGCAAAATTTGTTGTAAGAAACAATTTAACAAGAACTTAATACAACGATAATAGATAATTATAATAAATACAAATAAAATTAAAATTACACTACATAAGAGGAAATTTACCAAAAATTTACAACAAAAAAATGAATTATATACAGCCTGCAAGTGTTAGTAGTTCTTCATAAACAACATTTTTTGTGGTATTGTTATCCAAAGCATGTTGATTTGTTGGCGGAATGAGAACTTTAACATCTGCAGCAGTTGTAGCTCGTGATAGAGCAACATAAAGTTGTCCATGGGAGAATACTGGCTCTCGTAGGTAAAGACCTACTTTTTGTAATGTTTGGCCTTGCGCTTTATTTATTGTCATGGCAAAACATAACTTTACTGGGAATTGTGTTCTAGTAAACTGAACTGGGTATTTTTGATGATCTGAGGGTTGCAATGGTATTCGTGGTATGAAAACCATTTGTCCTTTCCAATCCCCAACAGTAATTTCAGCACAAATGATGAAATCTTTGAGATCTCGACAAATAAGTCGCGTTCCATTGCACAAGCCTATTGAAGGATCTATGTTTCTTAAAGTCATGATCGGACTATTGATTTTCAATTCTAAATGATGAGGTGGGAGACCATTTGGTTCAAGAGAATTCAAGAAGTCTTCATATTGTCCTTGATCATTTGGATCAATTGTCTTGTCGATGCTTGTATATAATCTACCTTTTGTTGGGAATTGTTTGATCAACAAAGCATTTATTTCTTGTACACAATCATTTTTTGGAGTGAGCACAACAGAATTAATCATTGAAATTGGATCTTCTGAGTAGTTCTTGAGATTTGGAAAGACAGTTTGAATCAAGTCTTTGATAGAATTTTCAGCATTTGAAAAATTGTTAGAAATTATCATAGATGCTGGTATTTTGATTTTGTTTTGATCATTGACCGATTCAGATCCATTGCCAATGCGCAATAAGTAATTACTGAAACAAGGATCATGCCTTGCTCGCATATTTTCAGTCAACTTTATTTTCTCAATAGATTTCCATAATTCTGAATTGACCAAGCTAGCATCAATTGAATCATATTTTGTTCCTTTGGGAATGACTGGTGGTATTTGTCGAAAATCACCACCCAAAACTACAACTTTGCCTCCAAAGAGTAACTCTGACTCATTGATATCCTTCAGCATATCATTTAATGCCTCAATGTTTTGCCTCTTGGCCATGGGTGCCTCATCCCAAATGATTAGTTCTGCAGTTCTCAAAAGATTTGCAAGCCCAGTTTGTTTACCTATGTTGCAAGATTTATATGTATCAACATCTATAGGTATTTTGAAACGAGAATGGGCTGTGCGGCCTCCTGGGAGAATAGAAGCTGCTACTCCAGATGTTGCTGTTGCAAGAGCAATGTAATTCTTGGATCTAATTGCTGCCAACAATGCCTTGTATAAAAAGGTCTTACCAGTGCCTCCAGGACCATCTATGAAAAAACACCCTTGATTTCCTGAGAAGACCCTATTTAAGATTTTGTCAAATGCTACTTTTTGTTCCGAGGATAATAGAGAGATAGACTGGTAATCAGCTTCAGAAACAACAATATTCATTTCTTCTTCAATTTCACGACAAGTCTCTTGATTATCAGATGAGAGCATGTTGTCAGAGCAAATATTGAAATCTTTGATATCTTTGCCCATTGATTGAAGAGTTGAATTTATGCTTTGCAGAACTTTTTTGAAAATTTCTTGTTTTGAAAGATTTGTTGTTTTGGCATAATCCTCTGCCATGTAGTCTTTGAATTTTTCCCACAACTGCTTTGGATTATTAGGAGCACAATGAATGAGAATGGTTGCAAACAATCTTCTTAGAGAGTAAGGCATTCGATAATAGATTGCTTCTTCTAAGCATTGTTCAAGATTATTATCTGATTGTAAGACACCACAGAGAAGGGTAGCTTCTCGAAAAGTTTTTGCTTTTCTTCCATTTATGGTTCTCAAGGATTCAAATGATGTAGGGCCTCTGATGTTGTTTAGAAGTAACCTAAGGTAATATCTTTCACCTAAGATTATAATTACCGCGAAACGATGAGACTTTAAGCCTGATTGCAATTAGAGTTGGAAATGATTGAGCAATGGCTTGCAATCTCTCTCCTTCATTAGTGACAAATTGACCCCACAAAGTTAAAACTATTGGCATTAACCTGCTACAATTAAGAGAATTTGTTAGTATTGAAATCAAGTTATACTAAACGCAGGTATACAAAATACTTACTCTTCATTAATGAGTACAATTTCTTGTGCAGTTGTGGTTCCATTTTCTGTTGTGATTGTTTTTGGTGGCTTAATTTGAATAACTGCTGCAAGAATATCTGTTATAGATACAAAAACAATAAGAGTATCTAATGAAAAAGTAACTTGATAATTATTTATGTTGATCTAAGAAAATTACCTATGGATGATGTTTCATTGCCAAGATGGTCAGAGAATTCATTGAATGGTACAAAGTGATATGTTGGGGCATTGTTATCTTCATTACTGTTTTCAACATCTCGAATAAGTGTGCTAGCAGTGATTGTCCATTGCCATTGCCATGATTGTGGTGTGATACGGTATTTTTCTTGTAGCAACTTGACAGCAGCATTTGAGACATAGTATGAGTTAAAAACTTTGAAGGTATCTTGGAATTGTTCTATTTGATCTTGATAAAGTATAGCTTGAACTTGTGTACCCTATACAAGTGGTATGTACAACAGAAGTTAATGAGGCAATGAATTATGTAATTATGAATTCAATGAAAAATGTTATTGTTAAGAACCTAAAAAATGAATATGGTAAATATGGTATGTATTATAAAACAAGAATTTGAAAGTGTAACCTCTGCATCAGCCAAAATGAGCCTTTGATATCTTGTTGAGCCTGTTTTTGGGATTCGTGGATTCCACTTTTCCAAAACACGAATCTTTGCTGTCCATTGTTTAGTTGTGCTAGTTATTTTCTTGATAGGTGTTATTTCTTCATTCATCCTGCAAAATTTGTTGTAAGAAACAATTTAACAAGAACTTAATACAACGATAATAGATAATTATAATAAATACAAATAAAATTAAAATTACACTACATAAGAGGAAATTTACCAAAAATTTACAACAAAAAAAATGAATTATATATAGCCTGCAAGTGTTAGTAGTTCTTCATAAACAACATTTTTTGTGGTATTGTTATCCAAAGCATGTTGATTTGTTGGTGGAATGAGAACTTTAACATCTGCAGTAGTTGTAGCTCGTGATAGAGCAACATAAAGTTGTCCATGGGAGAATACTGGCTCTCGTAGGTAAAGACCTACTTTTTGTAATGTTTGGCCTTGTGCTTTATTTATTGTCATGGAAAACATAACTTTACTGGGAATTGTGTTCTAGTAAACTGAACTGGGTATTTTTGATGATCTGAGGGTTGTAATGGTATTCGTGGTATGAAAACCATTTGTCCTTTCCGATCCCCAACAGCAATTTCAGCACAAATGATGAAATCTTTGAGATCTCGACAAATAAGTCGCGTTCCATTGCACAACCCTATTGAAGGATCTATGTTTCTTAAAGTCATGATCGGACTATTGATTTTCAATTCTAAATGATGAGGTGGGAGACCATTTGGTTCAAGAGAATTCAAGAAGTCTTCATATTGTCCTTGATCATTTGGATCAATTGTCTTGTCGATGCTTGTATATAATCTACCTTTTGTTGGGAATTGTTTGATCAACAAAGCATTTATTTCTTGTACACAATCATTTTTTGGAGTGAGCACAACAGAATTAATCATTGAAATTGGATCTTCTGAGTAGTTCTTGAGATTTGGAAAGACAGTTTGAATCAAGTCTTTGATAGAATTTTCAGCATTTGAAAAATTGTTAGAAATTATCATAGATGCTGGTATTTTGATTTTGTTTTGATCATTGACCGATTCAGATCCATTGCCAATGCGCAATAAGTAATTACTGAAACAAGGATCATGCCTTGCTCGCATATTTTCAGTCAACTTTATTTTCTCAATAGATTTCCATAATTCTGAATTGACCAAGCTAGCATCAATTGAATCATATTTTGTTCCTTTGGGAATGACTGGTGGTATTTGTCGAAAATCACCACCCAAAACTACAACTTTGCCTCCAAAGAGTAACTCTGACTCATTGATATCCTTAAGCATATCATTCAATACCTCAATGTTTTGCCTTTTGGCCATAGGTGCCTCATCCCAAATGATTAGTTTTGCAGTTCTCAAAAGATTTGCAAGCCCAGTTTGTTTACCTATGTTGCAAGATTTATATGTATCAACATCTATAGGTATTTTGAAACGAGAATAGGCCGTGCGGCCTCCTGGGAGAACAGAGGCTGCTACTCCAGATGTTGCTGTTGCAAGAGCAATGTAATTCTTGGATCTAATTGCTGCCAACAATGCCTTGTATAAAAAGGTTTTACCAGTGCCTCCAGGACCATCTATGAAAAAACACCCTTGCTTTCCTGAGAAGACCCTATTTAAGATTTTTTCAAATGCTACTTTTTGTTCCGAGGATAATAGAGAAATAGACTAGTAATCAGCTTCAGAAACAACAATATTCATTTCTTCTTCAATTTCGCGATAGGTATCTTGATTATCAGATGAGAGCACGTTGTTAGAGCAAATATTGAAATCTTTGATATCTTTGCCCATTGATTGAAGAGTTAAATTTATGCTTTGTAGAACTTTTTTGAAAATTTCTTGTTTTGAAAGATTTGTTGTTTTGGCATAATCCTCTGCCATGTAGTCTTTGAATTTTTCCCACAACTGCTTTGGATTATTAGGAGCACAATGAATGAGAATGGTTGCAAACAATCTTCTTAGAGAGTAAGGCATTTGGTAAGAGATTGCTTCCTCCAAGCATTGTTCAAGATTGTTGTCTGATTGTAAGAGACCATAGAGAAGGGCAGCTTCTCGAAAAGTTTTTGCTTTTCTTCCATTTATGGTTCTCAAGGATTCAAATGATGTAGGCCCTCTGATGTTGTTTAGAAGTAACCTAAGGTAATATCTTTCACCTTGTGCAGGATGTGCTGTGACTATGTGCCCAATAACATTGCCCTTTTTTCGCTCAGTCCACATTCTATCTTGTTGCCACCAAACAAAATGTTCAGGGAATTCCTTATATAAATATTTTGTAAGCTTTGCCTTTTCATTTGACTTGTTCATCAAAAAGAATTCAGTTAACATTGTTTTCGAACGGATGGGATCATTTAACACAGAATTTAGGTCATCTGAAGGATTGAAAGTAACAAATTGTAGATGGATTACTAATGGGTATATGTCATTCAAAGAGAATGCATAAATTCTCCACATTGCCTCTAGAGGTGAAATCCATCTTGCCGACTGAAATTGTTGGATTTCATCTATGATTTCTGATTGATTTTCTTGAACAATATGGAATGCAATTTTATCATGGCCTTTGTAAATATACTTGTACAAATATTTGACAGCTTTGATTGTTGAACAAATTTCCACATTAATGTGGCAATCATATTTGGCAAGAAGATATGGATTGTACGGAACTACCCAACGGTTATCCAAAATTTGCCCTCTGATTTTCACTTGATTACCATCAGCACGACGCTTGTATATTGGGTATGAGTCTTTGGAAGATCTTGTTATAGGTTCAAAATTTTTGGGATAATGATTTTTGCATTTTCCATTCTTCATGCAAATGTTGTTTGGATTCATTTCACCACAAGGTCCATGTATCATGTGTTTCACCACCACAGAAAACAAATGAGGATTTTTTTTTGATCAGGAAGTTCAGCAGATACGATTGAATCATAAGTATCAGGAGATAAAGGCTTTTGTCCAGGTGCTAGAATTAACAATAGATGCATATGTGGAAGACCTCTCTTTTGAAATTCAATGACGTAAACATATGCAATGACTTTCCCAAAGATTTGATGTTTTATGATGTCATCCTTCAGTTGTTCCATTTTTGCTCTAAAAACGCGAGAGGTTAAATCTGGTCTATTTTGAGCTTCTTCATTAGGTCCTAACTCAGCTTTAATCTCTGGCCATGCTGGATTACAAGTCATTGTAAGAAAGATATCAGGTTTGCCAAATCGCTGGACCAAAGCCATTGCATCAACATATCGACGTCTAAGATCTCTTGGACTACCTATGAATGACGGTGGTAGTATAACCCTGTGACCAATCTTTGAACCTCTACCTTCACCTGTTGTGACACTGTCTATGATTTCTTAATACAAATCAGCCCTAATTTCTCTTTGTTTGTTTCGAAAGAACTGAAGTCTAAATGTTTCAATCTTGACATACATATCAACACAATACTGCTAAAAGAGACGACCAGAGCGGAGTAAGATTGAAGAATCATTGGGTCGTATTTGAAGCTTGTAGCAGTAGTATTCACGACAAGAAATGGTAGTTTTCTTATTCTTTTGTTTCTGAAACACTGAAATAATTTTTTTCTAGTTAGGAGTAAAAAAAATTTAATACTATTTAATTGATAAGGAGAGGATCTATTTACCTTGGGCTTCTTTTATGAGAAGGTCTGAAGCAGTAAGAGCTTGATGAACACTAAGAATAGATTGTTGATGGCATGTGATTTTTGTTTGGTTTTTGTCAACTCTATCAATACCATAATGCCATCCAGATTCACCATATGGAAATAACAATGGATATTGTAATGGGTCATAACATCCAAAATACTATTGAACTTTTTCACTATGACTAGAAATTTGATGAACAACAATATCTCTTGAGATTTCTTTGGTTAAGACATCATTTTCAGACCAAATTGCTACGACTTGTGAGGCTGAAGGTTGATTGTAGACTCTCTGATCTAACGATACATCAAATTTAATAATAATTTGTACAGAGTTCAAATGATCTATGTGTTCTAATCTCCTGAAGAAGATTGAATATGGATTTAGATGTGAAATATTTATGAGCCTTTCAAGAATAACAGGATTTAGCTTTTCTGAAGATTTCATTCTATTTTGGATTTCATGATCAGTGTCATAAAAGTTGAGCTGTAGATGACTAAGATTTTCATCAGAAGATGTAAGCTCATTAATGAAATGATAAACTTGACCTTGTATCCTGAATGTATAGATCCCTTTATTTCTCCGACACAGTTCCTTGTCATATTTGACTCCAAAAGATGTGAAAGCAAAGCAATTGTTATATGTTTGAACATAGGTACGAAATTCTTTTGCTTCCTCAGAGTTAGATGTATATAACCAATCAAGTTCTAGAGGACAGCTACTGGAAGCCAAAGAGACTTGTCTAGCCATACAACAAAAGCTATTAGGCTCAAGGTAAAACTTTTTCGCACCACAAAAGTTGCAAGGTCTTTGTAGTGGTAAGATAGCAGGTTGAGTTGGAATGCTGCATGTTTTTTTGTTAGAAGCCTTCCATATTCGCAAACTACAATTTTCTATGAAGCGGAAGATATAATTTTTTTATTTAGAAAGTTAAGCAAAGAAATTAATTTGTAAAGAATTTAAATTTAGAATCAACCTGCATTAGGTTTTGAGCGATGATTTGTTCCGGAAGTGGAATCTATGAAAATTAATTTGTGTTAATGTTAGATTTGTTGCTATAATTCTATTAGATAATTTATTTAAAGGAATAAGATTCAAACCTTTTTCATAAATACCGAAATAACTTATGTGGGATTTCCCTCTGTTGTCATGACATGTAAGAAAGCCGGATTGAACAGTTGAAACATGATTTCCTAATAAAAATAAGATGAAAAAGAAAGAAACTAAATGTAATGTTTATCATATGATTTTAGAATTACTATGTTATTATGTAATCACGTTCAATATTTTTTCTTATCAGTTACCTATACGCAATTGTTGCTGATTTGAGTTGCTCCCTTGAATCAATAAATCTCTATTTTTTGTTGATGATGTGCGTTTCCTTTTTTTATCTTGACGGACGTCTATGGAATGTACCAATAATTAATTTGGCAAATATGTTAGATTTACAAGAGATGAAATTTTTAAGCTAAGATTAGTAGTAAGATAACTAATCTTGATTTAAATCTAATGTTGATTTAAAGGAAAAATCAATACCAACAGAGTTTTCAGCCCGTGAAAGTAGATATTGTTTCTTTTTAGCATATGCCTCTTGCAGTCTTCTATTTTTTTCAAGTCTTTGTTTTTCTGTAAGCAGAGGAATAAAGTATATATGTAAAAGGTTAATATTTTAATGTTCTTTTCTTTTATATAAGTTATGGGTAAATATGTATACAACGAATGTTTGAACAGAAATAAAAAGTTTTAAAGTAAATTGTTTTGTACTTTTAACCAAAGATTGATCTGCATCTTCCTGGTCAGCACATAATCTTCGTTTTCGCATTTTTGTGTTGCACAACTACATACTAAAACTACATAAAAGAAGTTTATTTTTGTATTAGTAGAACGAATGGATTGTATCGAGCTATGTCCTATGCTTAACAATACTATTTATGTGGAAAAACATTAAATGGTACTGATTGACATATGTATATCATAATATTCTAAAGATAAATAAATTAAAGAATGATAATTATTTGGAATATAACATGCAAAAAAATTATGAAAGGAACAAATTTTTAATTGTAGCTAAAGAGTTAAAGCAAAGACAGAACCTGGCAAAGCTCAGTTAACTTGGTAGGAGAGTGTGGAATTGTGACTACTGTAGATACAAAAAGAAAGGTAGTTTAGAAATTAAAAATAGCCAAATGGTTTGGATTGGACAGAAATCAAAAGATTGATATTTAAATTAAAGAAAATTTTTTTTTTTTGTTATAACGCTCAAATAGTGGATATTTTTTTTAATTGTCCTTTATAATTATTAATAATGCTGTAAAAATGAAATTTTCAATTTTAAAGAAAAGCGAAACCCATATTTTAGCAAACAACAGTTATGGAAAAAAAAAAGTAACATTTTATTTTAAGGATTTGTAAGAGAAATTTATAGAAGTTTAATATGTGTATTTATTTTATATCAACTAATTTTAGAAAAATAGTTTTACTTTGAAAATTTGGACTAAATGCTAGAATAAATGAATAAATCATTGAATAAAAAAGTAAACGTTGGTATAGTTTACAATCATGTCAAAGTTGTAATATAAGTATAACAATACTGAGCAAAATGCAAATTGTCTTGGTTAAGAAGGAAAAGAATGTCTTTGATAGTGAAAATGTCTTTGATTTGGTGAAAATTTTAGTTCTCTGTTGATTTTATACAAGTTTGATGAAAGGATTTGACCTCATTTTCACAAAAAAAAAATCATTAAATTTTGGGGTTTGGTGAAGAATTAGAGATGCTGTAAACAGTCAAAAATTAAAGAGTAATAAATATCATTGAGAACTTACAATTCAATGCCGAATACTGCAAAAGAAGAGCTCCTTTGAATTTGCTTTGTAAGAACAACGGACAAACTTCATTTGCAGCAGAAGTAATTAGAGCAATTGTGATTGTTTTTCCTTCTTAAATATGAATATAATTAGACAAATAGGACTGTGTATGGTAGTGATCATGACAGGTGTATGGCATAGATGTAAGTTGGTGAATTTTTTATTTTTAGTTTTATTTAACTAAAAAAATAATTTATAAATGTTCAAAAGACTATTTTATGATTTTCTAATTGTTTACTAAGTAATAGCATAGAGAGTAAAATTGACATTTCACAAAATAATCCCATGGAATACCAATCCCATGGTTTCTATCCCATCTCCCCCCATAGGATAGGATAGTCCCATATTTGTGGGACTAATAGTCCGGAGGAACTATTAGTCCGAAGCAAAAAAAATGAAACAAACAATGGACTATTAGTTTGGTGGCACTAATAGTCCAATCCCCACCCCTAATCCTTCAAAACAAACACACCTTTAGTATATATTACAAATGTGATTGAAATATAAATTTATAAAGAAAAATCAAATATTTAAATATTAAAAAATTTATGCCAAAAAAAAGTTTTTGAGATGTAAACAATTGAATAAAATGTATATTTGAATAATTTATTATTGTTTATAACTTAAAATTTGAACATCTAATTTTTATTGAGAAATTTATATCTAAACACCATTTATGATGTTTATTCAAAATTTGTATGGTGTGTAAATAAAATTCCCTAAGTGGAAATGATTAATTTGTGAATTGATTTGACATTTATTTTAATGCAAAAATCAGTAATAAGAGGAGTATATTTCACTTGGATCACAAAATTATAAAGATTATCTTTCTACAAAAATAAATAAAGGGATAAAATAGAGAAGGGTTTTGATAAGTATGAGATTTCTCTAAAAATATAATGGTAAAAAAAATCAAATAATAATTTCAAAGAGTCAAACATTTTAAGTGGAGTTGATCAATTCATAAATTTATTTGACACGTTTAATGGAAAACCCAGCAGCAAAATTGCTATATTTCACCTGTGGCTACCATGAAAAGCCTCTGACATATTAAAAAAATTAATGATTAATGTCCATTTATTGATTGAACACCAAATGGACAATGCAACATGATAAATACTATATTTTTATTTAATATATAAAGATAAATATTGTGGTTTATACAAATTGTAATGTATATATAAACAACAATTAAAAATAATTTGGTTGCATTTTGTTAATATAAGTATTAACATTTAATTTAATGCATAAATTTAATTAATTGTTTTCTTGGGGGTATATATTTGACTGAAATTTATCTTATTTATTTGCTTTTGGATATTTTATATTTTTTAA